GAGGAGATGTAGATAATTAATGTGCATAAAAACGCAATTTTTTATCAAATAAAAAAAAAAACTGAGGTACGAATATCATCAAATTAATCATATTCTACTTCCACAGTAAATAGATACAGTAAATGCTCGAATAAGCACCACTCTTGAATAAGCGCCGCACCAAACCTGATTTTTTTCGCTAAGCGCTGTTCTTGAATAAGTGCCATGGCGCTTAATCGAGTGTATATATGGCTCTCTGTGTAAGGAAACACTTCAGTAACAGAGTTTTAAATACAATGTATACAGTGTTACAATGAATATAACACAAAGAAGACACTTGTAAGCATTTCTTTATAAACCTTCATTTATAACGCACGACCTATAATAGGCCTATTGAACTACGGAATATGTGAGATAGATAACATGGGAACAGGCATGGAAAGCACCACGCCAATAAGCGCCGCTCTCAAATAAGCATAAGATTTGAGCATTTAAGGTATGTTTAGAGGATCTGGAATAACGTGAATGAGGCCACAAAGTGTTTAAGTATCCTGGGAAGAATGTGAATGAAGGAGACCAGGGGAAAAGTTTGAAAGGATCAGTGGCAAAGCCAGGATATTTTTGACAGTAGAGGGAGGTTTGGGGGAGGGGGTGCGTGTACATGGTGTGACTGGCAATTGAGGACCTATGGTCTGAAGGAGGACAGGGTACTGTTGTAGTCTTACATGGCGGTCCATGCCCAACGATAAGTACTGTAGAAGAACCTTACTGTCCAGGGAAAAGCTCTATAGTTTTATCATTTTTAATATCTTACCTAACTGAAGAAAGACTGTAAACAAATCTGACAATGGAAGTGGGTCAATTGGATAGAGGTACTCCAAGGGCAAAGTCACCACTACATTTGTTGTGGTTTACATGTAGTGTACAGTATTTTTATCAAAGAAATGTTAGCAAAATTGAAGATTTTGGCAGTTTGTCATAATATGATTTTTTAAAGCATAATGCCCATTGTAGCATATTAATGCCTGTTGGCATAATTTGGACCCCTGTAGCATGTGGCATTAATGCTAAGCATAATTTCCTGAAAACGTAGCACAATGTAACTTAACTTACATTGTTTTACATTTTGTTGCAATTAGAACAATAAACTACAAAAAAGTTTGAGAGTACTGTACCATTTCTGAGCATCTAGAGGTACCTGTTTATTTCAAATTTTCTCACTTCACCTAAAAAGTAGTAAAGGGGTGTGGAAACGAAAGTGCTAAATCTATTTTTAGCCAAATACTGTACGCTATTTTGAAAGTACTGCTTAACTGACTACCGTGTATCTAAGTACCAAAATGTTTATTTATTTATTTATATCGGTATATAAATCCACAGCAGTAATCGTGTCTCCACTATTTGAGGAATAGCATTCTGTAGCATATTTTTACTATCTAGACCTATTTAAAGACTCAAGAAATAAATGTAGATGCACAGTAGGTCTAGGCTTCCTGTAACATAACGAGGCCAAGGCATCACAAGATTTTACCTGTCTGAACTGACCAAAGTGATTACTGTATTCTTTCAAAAGCTCGAAGAAATGTTTATGTCTTTGATGAATATCTAGGAGAATAGTAAACTCATGACAAGTTCTTCAAACACAATCAAATATTTATTCATCATACTACCAACTACATACCATGTCAACTGTAGTGTTAGCATGAACTGCAGCAACATTCCACATTGCATACAGTAGCTAAAAGTACATATGCGCACATATGTACTGATCATATCACTCTACTGATGACAAGTACTACAACGGTTTGAATATAAAATATACAAAACTAATATAAAAAGATGGTGATTGACAATTAGTATAGTTCTTATCTATACACTAGAGGAAATTATTATATTCAGGTTAGATTAATGCATGAAAAAAATTCCTCCGGCCTTGCAGTCCCTCAGGAATTTTTTTCATGCATTAATGTAGCCTACATCAAATAATTTCCCCTGTGTATGATACACAACTATACTAATTGCTTAGTATTCATATAATGTACATAATCACCCTGGGTATTTTTAAAAGTTTTATTTGCTCAATGCTATATCATCAAGAAACAACTGACAATAAATTGTACCTTGTAACATTTATTTTTACAGTAATTTAGCTGTCACCAAAAATCTTTTTTTTTTTTCAATTGACTATGTTTGCAATCTATATCCTAACGTATGTTTGGTGTTCTATTTTTGATCATCATATGTTTTGGAAGCCGGAATCGTTGAGAAGTGGATTTAGTTTGATTCAAATTTAATAAGATGGTAATTACAACGTGTATAAGGTTAAGGATAGAATCTACATGAACAGGATGTAAAATGCAATTTAGAAAGAGATTGTTGGCAAGATTCATATGCATGATGGATTTAGCATCTTAAAAACAGGTAACATGTTAAAATAGAGCCACAGTTTTATCAAGTACAGTATGTTCACTATTGAGTCAAAATAGGGAGTAGAGGTTGTCAGACATATCATTGAATTCAAATGAATAATAAAATGATAAATTTGTTTATACTGATAGTTAAAATGTTGTTATACTACCAAAAAATATGTGGTATAATTTTCAATCTTAGCCTGGGTTGGATGATGGTGAAGTTTGTGGGTAGATGTGGTGATGGTGGATGGTGGTATAGAGAATGCTATGAAACCCACCCTTTAGTGTTTGTAATATTTACAAAGAATGAAAAAAAAAATGAGACACCCATATTTTTTTGTAAATCTTATAAAATGAAGATTGTAGAATTCAAATGGTTTTTCATTGAAAGAAGAAAAGCACTGAGTTAGTAAATATTATTATGTAACATTTTGAATATGGTTTCTATTTAATTATCTAAAAATTTAAATGAAAAAATATTTTCCCCATCAATTAATGGACAATTACACAATTTTCCTCTCTTTTGCATTGACCCTTAAATTGTCATTTTGAGGATTTTTGTAGTAAATCAGTGAAAACTAAATTTCAATTACTCACTATCCATTTGCTATTCAACAATTGCATTTTTTTAGGTTTTATCCCATTTTTTAAGAAAAAGTACATTTTATAATCAACAATTAGATTGGACACCATAAATTCTTGCACACTTTCACATTCTATCATGAAAATCACAAATATATAGAAAAAGTAGGCATGATTACAAATGCTACTGTGCAACGTATGTCAGTGACATCATGAACAGTAGTCCCTACCTATGAACACGCATGCATATTAATTATAAGCAATTCTAGATACACAGGACTTAAATAAATCCATAATTTACATGTAAGTACAGTGGTGTACAGTGCCTCTCTAAAGTTATGACTTTGTTTTTTTGTTCAAATTCAAGCTATCTGTCTGGTGAAACGAGCTCGATGGAATAGTTCACTGTCCATGTTGGTTTTACTGTTTAGATGGTTATGAAAAATAGTAGGTCAACATGCAAATTATTTTGTTAAATTATGACTATGTAGTCACTTTAATCTCGAACACTACCATTTCAAATTAATTACTTACCGGCATACTCTATTTATTGACCATCTTCTGATCGCTTTCTAAAACTTAAGAAGTTTGAAGCACAGAGAGTGGATCATCAGTGGATTGGGAAGCAACATTTGTTAAGTGGTCACCAGATCAAATAAAAAAGTCTCTGAAATGTCAGAAAAACAAATAAAATAAAGATAGTAGAGCATTAATAATTAGTATACTCACCGATATGAAGTTTGTTTTTTAATCGTAAAATGTGAAAACCTATCCATTGCCATGTTATCCTTAAATGTGTCCCTTTCCACAAGTGCTTCTATATTCTCATCGAATTCTGAGCCTGATTGCTCCGAAATTGATTCACAAATCCCTACTATATTATCAATACAATCCGAAGGTTCAGAAAGTTTTGGTATCATAGAGCTAGGCGCCGCTGCCATGGTGAAGAGTTATTGTACCTCTGGTACTGAGGTAAATACGCTAACGATAAAACAAAACACGGGCTTTTAGCAGACGATACGTGTGAATGGTTAACGTCTTCATTGACTACTCATCCAAAGGCTGGCTTCTTAATTTCCAGTGCGGAAGGGTTGATACAGTTTGAACACATTGACAAGACGTAATCCACATTAACTATCCAGCTTGCAGACGTCTGCATAAAAATATTAATCTTATATTAACGGTCATTCCAAACCATCATTTTTTATCATTCAATTAAAGTTATTCAAGTGCAGTGCTTACTATCCAGATTCTTCTAAAGCAACTGATCATAGTTTTTAGCAATTGTTTTTGCCCGGTTCATTTATAGAGGGCGGCAGACCGAATAATCTCAATAGCACAAATAGTTTTATTTCTTGAACTTGATAAATTGAATAAAATAAAATTGAAGTGTGTGGCTACAATTTCCACCCCTCTCCATTAACAAGTATGAATATAGTAGGCCTAAATAATCAATAATGAATTTAATTATTTTTTTTGGTAATTATTACCTCCGCTAGGAGGTTACATTTTATTCTGATTTTTTTTCTGGTTTTTATTTGTTAGCAGCCTCTTGCCTACAGTTTTAGGTCCACAACATGCATCGGATTTTCTGAGATGTCGGGGTGGATAGTCTTATAGAGTGTGCTGTAGTTAAAATTTGTAATGTTATTATCATTATCATTATTATGATCATTATTATTAATAATAATATTTTGATTATTTATTTATATACTTATCTTTATTTCAACCAACTTTTCAAAAAGATAGAAAAATAAAGAAAGAGAAGAAAATAAAAACCTGTTTTTGAATGCAATTATTTTTTCTTGTAATTTTAATGATTTTACCCATTGAAAATTTGTTAATCTTCTCATTTTGCATTTGTATATGCACGCTCAAGGAGGGTAAATTATTGTATGTATCTTCTAATTTAATTCTTTTAATGGTTAAAAACAATTATTAATAGGCCTAGTATTAATTTTATTCAGATAGTACAGTGTATGAAGACACCATGAGAAGCAAAGCGACTGGAGAACAACGAAAAACAATCAGCCTGAACTTTGGCCCATGACACGATAAGAGAACCAGATAAACAAAGTAGCCTATATCTCCTTTTCAATACCACGTCGACAATATTTTGCTGGGTTTTTCTTCGTTCGTTGGTCCCGTAGCATCGTTGTTCAAGAATGTTAAAAGCGGTAATACTTATAGGAGGACCTCAGAAGGGTAATGCATGATTAAAAATCTTTTTTACTTATTACAGACTTTACCGATGTGTTGTTTGTTGCAGGCTAGGCCAGCCAGACTTGCTTGGAGCCTACCGGGCATAATGGCTTGTGAGGTTTCTAACCATATCGCCAGGCGGTCCTCCTAGCCTTGCAGCTTAGGCTTAGCCTAGCCTGGGTTTACTTAGCAACCCTAGCCTTAGGCCCTAGGTCCAGTCAGTGTCTTGGAAAGAGGGAAACTGATGGGAAGGGGTGTAAAAAAGACATGTATAATTTTTTTTTTGGTGGGGGGGGGGGGGGTGGTTGCACTTCCTAGATACACCACTGACTGTGTCTAGTAGTAGTAGTACAGTAGCCAGGCCTAGGCTAGACCTAGGCCTAGTCCCACACTGTAAAGTATTTTTTTGTATAGAAGATATCTCAAAAACCAACTGAAATTTCACCCCCCCCCCCCATTATACTGTAATATACTGTAAAGATTTTATTTTTAATTGCGTGGATGATACCTCAAAACCAGCTCAAATTTGAGTAGAAAATGGCTTGGACAATGTATGCAGAATTGTAATTACTGCATAATAGTAATACATTGTTTATATATTAAGATTACATAGGTCATAAGTCTAATTTTCAGCAAAATCTGTGTGGAAATCAGCCCTTATTTTCCGAAATGCGCTGACAGATTTCTAGGCCAAATTTTTGCGCGGAAGATACATTCCCTGTGCAGGCCTTACTATTAGAGTCTGCACTCCCTAAAAAAGGGCTGCGCTTTCCCCCTAGTTGACCCCCACTGAAAATGCGCAAAGCAAAACAATTACATTCAAGTAGTTAAAAATCAGCCTCCACTTCACCTTCACAGCACCCCATCATCCCCCCCCCCCCATTTTAAAACTTGTAAATACACCACTGCCTGTACCTACTTCCCAGTGGTAAAAATTTGTAGTGTATCACACCTCAGTAGTGGTTTCCTGGTAATACACAGTAGAGGAAAATTTTTATAATATGCACATGTTGTAATAGTTTACAGAGATCAGATGCCATAACATTATTGACAAAACGTACAATATTACTTCCACCAGGAACCCGTTTTCGACCTCTGTCATTGGAGTTACCTAAGCCACTGTTTCCAATAGCTGGATTTCCCATTATTTATCACCATATCGAGGCTTGCTGCACGGTAAGAATAAAATAGAAACATTTTTCTCATATTCTGTTAAGCTTTTATGTGACAAATTTGTGTGGTATGCCCATATATGGACATGATAACGTCATGTTACACATCAAGTATGGGCATATCATATTTATTTCTCACATAACATTTTGATAGTATAGACAAAGCTTCACTTTTTTGTTTTTTGTTCCAAGATTTGTTTAGTCTTTTAAGTTTTTTCCTTACTTAAAAAGGAGAATTTTCATTAAAAAAATAGAAACAGAAATTTTATATTAAAAGAAGAGTGTTAAATTTCAAATAAGCATCATTCTGATAGATTCTTTAAAAATGTATAATATATTCTGTAATTTATGTTTTTAATTCACATTTATCCATATTGATTGAAATCACAAATCTTTTATTCAAATTTGTTACATAAATAATTCTTATTAATAAAATAATGATATTTTGTATATTTGTTTATGGTACTGTTTGTTTACTTGATTAAAAACAAATTGTAACACACTCCCCCTCCCCCATCCGTTCAGTATTTGAATCCAAGACCAACTGAGCTATGAGGTATACAGTACAGCCTTGGATTTTCCATTTTCTCAAGGTATTGCATAATATGCAATGAAACCTGTGGAGGTGTGTCACCATACCAAAATGTTATCATGTGATAATACTAGTCATTCAGTGTTTCACTATCACAGCAGAGCATGTTCATTGTATGAATCTGTTTATGTTGAAATAACATAATCTTGATTTCATATCATATATTTAAAAAAAATGGTTAAAAACAACTTTCAAGTTTTTTTTTACTTCTTCATTGCAACAGGTATCTGAAGTTAAAGAAATCCTTCTGATTGGATTTTACCAGCCAAGTGAATCTCTGAATCGATTTATTCAATCAACCCAACAGCAATTCAAGATAAATATTAGGTATCAAAATTGCACAGTATCTATTTTTAGATATTTATGTCTTCATTTTAAACGTCATGCATAATGCAAAAAAAAAATTTAATTTCTATTTGTTTATATATTATTAATTTACTATGACTGGTATCTCCAAAGAATGATAACCCTGTGGCCATAATTGATTCATTTCGTTTTTTATTTGAGCATTGTCAGTTGTCCATGATGGTGAAAATACTTAACTACCAGAAATCAATACAAAAGATATAAATGTAGTACACTTCACCCTCCAATTCGAGACATCTCTAATTTGAGACCGCTTTTTCTAAAAACCAAATAACAATCATCAATTTTTTAACACAAAGCTAACCCTCTAATTGAAGACCGAACCCAGAGACTACCCCAAATTTTTTGGTCCCAAAGGTGGTCTCGATTTGGAGGGAAAACTTTATATAAATTTTCATCCAAAATTGTTTCTTAAAAGATGTAAAACAAAAATAAAAATTATCATTACCACTAAATATTTGCTTTAAGTTATACTTACATACAAATAATGTACCATTATTTTTTTTTAATTTAATTTAATTTTTTTTTTACTTTTCTCATTCAAAATAGGTATTTACAAGAGTACACTTCGTTAGGAACTGCAGGAGGCTTGTATCATTTCAGAGACCAAATACTAAGTGGAAATCCAGAGAGCTTTTTTGTTTTCAATGGCGATGTTTGCTGTGATTTTCCTCTCAGTGACATGTACAATTTCCACAAGAATCTCCCGAATGGCACAAAGTATACAATCTTAGCAACAGAGGCAAGTATTTTTCATTGAGAAATTTTCTGAAAAGCTAAAACTTTGTAGCTTCTCGGTTTCACACCCTGGACCTCCACTGGTGCTTTGCTCCTTGACCCCACTATTGGAATTGCAATTGGATTTATTCGGTGCAAACACCATCCCACGAAAGTCTAGAAGAAGATTTATTTCCAGTAGGGTCGTTCCGGTGGTGATTGGGCAGTACGCCGGGAGACAATCCCCTACTCTTTTCCGAAGAGTGTACTGTGTTCTTTAATGTGCTCATGGGCCATAAATGCACACGGGACCAACGTCTTAAACGTCTCATCCGAAAGACTGTGCGCTATTTTAACTTACATTCCAGCCCTCCAGCTGAAACACAAGGAGTAGCAGCGATGGGAATTAAACCGGGGACTTAGAGATTTCCATGGTCCAATGCACACCCAGTGGCTACCACCAGATTAGCCAACTGAGCTAAGCTGCTCTCTCTCACTAGGGCCCTCACATCAGGGCTTGGCAATTAATCTTGCCCATCATCACCTAGCTACTACATTGCTGCTGCTCACATTTAAAAAGCTATGTGCTTTTTAAATGTGCAGGGGCACAGTTAACTACAGTCTTAAAATCGGCACTAGTTCCAGCTGCTCCTCGCCCATGGTTCGGTTTGGTAGAACCAAATCTTCTTGGATAAATAGAGGCTCGGTGTATACATCAGGCTCGAGTGCACTTTAGAAATTGCATCTTTCGGAAGAATAGGGGTTACCCTGATGTTATGGGTCATTTCAGCCCCTGTCGTTGTGGAATGATGTGAACATGTAGCTGCCATGAAGTGCCCCTTTGTGGCTACTAGGTAGTCATGGACCACGCCCATATGCAGTTTAGCACAATGATGCTGCAAGTTATGGGTTATTCTCCTGTCTTTACCTTTGCCTTTAGTATTTCATGGTAAGACCTTCCTATTGAACCCTCTAGTAATAAATGAGTGAAAACACTACTATATTAATGAAAATAATGCTCAACCTAAGGCAAATTTTTAATGTGAATAATTTTCTTTTTAACAGGCAACAAGAAAACAGTCTCTAAACTATGGCTGTCTGGTAGAAAATTCAGAAACACATGAGGTATACCTATGCATCTTATTTTTGTGGGTCGACTTTTTTTATACACAAAGTATTAGTCCATAGTAATTGGTCTCAGTCAATTTGATTTCACTTGGTTTGAGTTTATATGAGAACCTTTGAACATAAAATTACACAAAATTAGAAAAAGGAAGTAAATGAGAATCAAATTATGTATAGTGTAATGTAATTTTTCAGGATAACCCAAAAAGCCCAGAGGCATACTTACATTGGGATCTTATCATTTCAACCTGGTGATCAGGATAGATATTGTACACTATTTTACTACATAATTTTAATTGATCTTTGCAAAGCATTGCATCCAAGGTCCTTGTAGTTTTCTGGTTTCCAAAAATATTTAATATATATAATAAGAATTTATCATTCCACAATGTCAGGAATGTACACTTACCCATCAGAAATCAGAATTATTGTTGTTATTCTTTCATTATCTTTTTATCATGTATATTTTGTAGGTACTTCATTATGTAGAGAAACCCCAAACATTTGTGAGTACCATCATCAATGGAGGGGTTTACCTTCTGTCACCAGAGATCTTTGAAAAAATTGGCCAAGTTTTCCAATCCCATCAAAATGAAATATTCAGGTAGGATGAGTTACAATTAAAATTATTTTAAATTAATATTTAGATTAGTATTTTTTGAAAACATAGTATATATGTTTATCTCTTTTGATATCTTATTAAAGTGTTTATACTAGGGTGAGTCAAATGGCTGAGCAGTAACGCAGGGCTTTGGTAGCTATATCTTTAAATCTGTGGTTGTTCTCTGTCAGTAATCTGTACCTCATTAACTGCTCCCAATTTTTTGTGTGTCTTGTATGCCTGATCTCATTTCATTTCAGTTTATTCAGTTCATTCAGAGAGATAAAAACTAAACAATACTAAAGTACAGAAACAGATAAAAGTACAAAGAACAATATCAACTGAATAAACTGAGGAATATACCCAAGAAATTGGGGTCCTCAAGACAGAAAGAAAACATTGAAAATTGCACTAACCCTAACCACTAAAAATAGCAACTCTTACAAATAGTTCAATTATATTAAATTTGCACATTACAAAAGAAAGTCAAACAAATGAAAGAAAGTAGCACGTCAAAGAAATATTAAGGAATAACAGTAAAATTTACAATTTAAAAATTACAGAGAATTATAATAAAATTATAATAAAAATTTATTTAAATTAAAATTATCAAAAACGCTTTATTATTAGATAATTCAGTAATTAGAAGGTATTATAAAAAATAGACATAATTTAAACAATTAGGAATGCAGTTCTTTTATTTACAATGTTAAAAATACAATTATTAAATTTTTTAAAATATTATTACTTATTACTACATTATTTAGACAAAATTGTTTTTGATGAACAAGGTATTAAAATGTTTTCCCTCTGTATCCTGGCTTTAAGTGCACCTGTATTTTTTGCAGGGGCGCCTCACTCAGGGTGGCCATCTCATCGAGCTTTGCTCTTATTGGTAATTCCCTAACATTTGCATTTTTCATTTTATAAAAATGTTTTTTGATGGTTTTACTTTAAATGGTGAATATACTTGAACTTGAAATATATTAAGATAGTTATTAGTATTAGATATTTTTCATGATATTTCACAGTTATGATAGTTTCACTCCTGCAAAAGACTGCATTCGATTTGAACAAGACATCTTCACCCCACTCGCTGGATCTGGTAGCCTTTTTGTTTTTAAAACACAAGGGTTTTGGAGTCAAATCAAATCTGCTGGGTAGGTATCATTGCTTGTGTTAAGTAATTCACTTTACATTTAGACTTAAAGATTTACCGTCCGTGTTTCACTCATGAGATTGAACAATAAATTTAATGTTTATATTGCTTACAGTATTTTAAGACATAGTTGCCTCAGCTTTACCATACATTCTTGCAGGCAAACTGACGCTTAAAATAGCAAATTACGATAGAAAAAACTGTGCAACGCATACAAATATTTGATTTTTACGGATAGTCCGTAATGCGCAAATTTACTACTGCAATGAAGCTACTAACTGCTAGTGTGATCTGGATGAATGCAATATTAAAAGCGGGGAAATAAAATTTGGATGAACATTTAAAAGCCCATAAAATGTTATTATTTGGAAGATTAGCCCTACATTTGGCTCCATTTTTAGCCAGTTAGATGCAGTATCAAAACCACAATAAGCGGCAAAGTAGGAATTCTGACAGCGAAACAGGGGGTTGTTTTATACGGCCGACATACAAGAATTGTCCAAAATCTTCTCAAACTTACAGGGTCATCTTACACGCAGATCGCTTTATATGCAAGAATACATGGTATTTAAGTAAGTTATTAGCCTTCAATTAAAAATTTACTTCAGCCACTTTCTCCCATAGATCTGCCATCTATGCCAACAGACTTTACCTTGGCTTATACCATCGAAACCATCCAGAGCACTTAGCTCTCAACGGAGATGCCAAACCCAAAATCATTGGAGATGTCTACATTCATCCTAAAGCTAATGTGCATCCATCTGCGACGGTAAAATTACATTCTTCTTTTAGGGTTGATAGCCCATGCTATCCACCAACAATTACCAGATAAACCCCTTTCACACAGTCCAATGTTACTTTTCTATCTGTGATTATTCCAAGGTTAGACCAAGCATTGTGTCTGTGTATTGAACCTGGAATTTTTGTGTTAAAGGAGAAAGCAGCATAGCTCAATTTTTCTAGGTGGCTGCTGATCTTAATTGTGATACTAAATGTGTGTATACTGAACCTTTGAGATCCATGGTTTTCTTGTTCAATTCATTTGCTGATCTTGTGTTTCCGACTTAAAAAAAAACAATATCTAAGCCATTTGTTCTGTGTACTGTACTGTAATTGTGGAAAGATGTGAACATGCAGCTACTATAAGTGCCTCTCTATGGTGAGAGTAGTCACGAACCACGCCCATACGCAATTCAGCACAATGGGTTATGGGTTATTTTTAAAACTTTACAATATGTCGATACCCTTATAAATGTCAAAATCTCTAGTGGTTGGACTTTAGCTTTTAAGAAATCATATCAAAGCATTTAAAAAATGCATGGAAGGCATATTGAAACCTAAAAATGTGGAAAATAAATTATACTACCTTAAAACTAACAATTAACAATGTAACTGGCAGTAAACAAAAAGGTCAGTATAGTTATCAGAAGCAGTTTCTGTTAACGTATAAAATATTTAACATTTCAGCTTGGTCCAAATGTGACGGTAGGGGAAAACGTAACGATTTGCTCAGGCGTGCGTGTGAGGGAGTCCATCCTGCTTCCTGGGGCAACACTACATGTGAGTAAATCTTTTGTCAATGTTTTATCAGTTACATTCAGCTTAGAATATTTTAATTGTTTTTAATAGATGATGAAAGCTTTATTATGTACCATGAAACCTACCGTAATCAGTAATTCAATAATGTTCTTTCCCCAAGAAAGAGTATAGCAGTCATAATAAAATATACTAATACAACATGAATATGTTGTTCAGCATTTTTTATAATATATATAATTTTATAGTTTTACTAAATGAACACATTAAACAATTTAAGTATTCTTATGTATTACTTTATTATTCTCAACACAGACAACATATGTCTAAGATGTCTAAGATAGGGGGCCAAATAAAGTGGATTACTAGTTTCATGTCCTCGGCATCATCAAATTTGGAACCTCATGAAAAATATTGCTGTTTAAAAAAAAAAAATTCCATGGAAAATAAAAATAAGGATTATCTGAAAGAAGGGGTGGAAACATAAATAGCAGAATAAATTACAACAATTAATTTTACTTAATTTTAAAGACACCCTACATCTCCTTTGTTCTCTGTATAGCATCATTCATTATCGTCCTACAGTGTTGTTTAATGAACAAGCCATCAAAACCTGAGTGTGTTTTTGTATAATTTAATTAAAGATGTTGGAATGTTATATTCAAACAGTTGTTTTTTTTGTTTTGTTTTTTTCCATTCAGGACCATTGCTGCATCTTAAACAGCATTGTTGGTTGGAACAGTGTAGTTGGTGCTTGGTCAAGGGTCGAAGGTACTCCATCCGACCCCAACCCGAACAACAAACATGCTAAGTTTGATAGTGATACATTATTCAACTCGGACGGAAGACTCAATCCGTCCATCACCATATTAGGTACAACATCTTTATTTGTTATGGTGCACTCATTTTTTAAACTCAATATTTCTTTACCATGCATTGGGTATTCATTCACATTTCTGACTACAGAGCTTGACTAATTGTGGCATTCAGTATGGTATCACAATAAGATCAACATTTGAAAACTTGCCTGTACTTATTCACTAACTCTCATGGGCATTTTCTTTCATGTACACATATATATCAAGCATCATATTTTGTAATGGACCAGTCCGCTAAACTAACTCATGTTATATTAAAATGTTGCAATCGTGTGAATTAGAATGAAAGGAAATAATTCAACAGCATATCCTTTTCACATGTCAAGAACATTGTGCTTCCGGTTTTCTTTAACTATGTCAATTTGTTGGCATCTGTGTTTTTATATTCTGCAATATTAGTATGAAAGCTAACAACATGGCTGTGTAACCACATACAGTAGTTACATTACAGCATTTAAATAAATTTCATGAAGATCAGACCACTCAAAGCGTGGACTACAGTAGCTCATGAAGTAACTTCCTTCTCCTGTAAGGGTCACTTTGTGTCTGGGCTACCCTGTATTCCGGTACCAGCTACACTTATCTGTCCTCAACAGGGACTGTATGGACCAGGATACCGGGCTAACCCCTACTCATCTCGAATGATGTACTGGGTTCTTTATAGTGCACATGAGCCAAATGTGTATACTGGGCCTTTCAGTTTGGGTGTTAGACTCGTCTGACATATAAAAAAGATGATTGACATCCTAATACTAGATATTTAAAAACTTTGTATTCAAAAATGGTTTAGAAATTTGGATATTTAAACTTCATGAAAACTACTACTTTTATTTTATATAGAAAAAGACAAATAAATCTTTCACCTATCAAAGACATTGCATAATTTACTAACTTGAAGTAATTAGCAGGTTTTCTTCATTTGCATGAGTGCTGTCCTCCACAAACTCAAATATTTATTTACAAAGAATTTAACATGGCATAAATTAGATTATTTCACGTTAACTTTTGTTATTTTTTAAATAATAGATATTGGCTTTCCAATTCAAATGATCTGCATTTCTGTTATGACTGTTGAAATTTTAACTGACTTGGTTTTGCAATGATTCATTATTTATTTTATTTATTTTCATTTAAACGATAAATATCCAAAGCGCTTTGAAATTACTACATTGAATAAATCATTCTTCAAATATTGCACTCACATTTTTTGTAAGTACAATTCTTGCTGCTTTAACATCACTGATTACATGCTTCCTAACATTCTTTTATTTTTGTCACTAATCATTTCTTTCAGGTCAGAATGTCACGATTCCCTCTGAAGTTGTCATTCTCAACTCCATTGTCCTGCCTCACAAAGACCTCTCATATGGTGTCAAGAACCAAATTCTGTTATAGTCTTTAGCACTTGTAAGGGAATTGTCATGTAGCTTTTTAGTATTACTTCTTGGCTTTGTTTTAGAAATCAAATGATTGCACAATCATGGTATTTTATTATAAATTGGTATTTGATTATTTTAGTTAATCTGTACATGTATATTGTCTGTCATAAAATATGGAACCCTCGAAAATTGAATTAAAACATTGAATAGGTCATTTAAAAAGAATAGGTTATTAACCATCAATAATACACAAATCAAAACAAATTGCTTTCAGCTAATTTAACAAGTATATATTCCTCTTTAATTAATATGCATATGATACTGTCCAATATTATTTTCTTAGACCCTTAAATTGGCTGGTAATTAATATAAGGATTTTTCAGTAAAAAACTTGTAGATCTGTTTCTCAATATTTTAAGGGTTTTCCCTTCTTTACCACAGACATTATTGGTAATGGTTGTTATTGCATGAATTTGCTTGGTTTTGGTTTTTATAAAAAAGTTTTTGTTGATTAAGAATTAGTATAGTCATACTCCATACACTAAATGGGGGTTGTTGCACACAAGAGATTGAATTAATGTTGCATGGGAGATTAAATTAATTTTGAATGCATTAATTCAATTTTAAGTGTAAACATTTCCTTTTTGTGTATGGAAATATGACTATAATAATTGCTGTATAAGTCAATCAATCATCGTCCCTTTTCAATGTCTTAAAATATGTTGCTTTGATCTACATAGGCCTAAGCCTAGCCTAGGCCTGGAAAGTGCAAAAGGTCTACTGTGTCACAATAAATTCTTAGGGGTTAGGAGGTTATCCATATTTTCTGTTGTGGATGAGATTGTGATACACCCCCTGGATTGGATGCTAGTCCATCACATATTTAAGCCTAGCCAGACATATTCTTATAGCTTGATAAAGCTTTAAATATATAAATAGTCACCTTATTTGTTTTGTGCAGACATATTCAGTCTTGGAAGCATGTTTCTTTGCATTCTACTTTGTTTCTTGCTCTAATGTCATGTGTAACACTTTGACTCTACACATGATGTTTACACTGCCTTGTGTAGGTGTTGAGCTAGTTAAACATAGCAATGAAACAATTTTTCTCAATATGTAATGTAAACAGGAAATGGCCTTCAACGTGTACAAAATGTAAAATTATACCACGTTTTAGGGTATCTATATATTATTAAAGGTAAAATGATGATATCACAATTGACTTATAATTACTAATATTAATACTGTTATTATATGTATCATAATCCTTAAATTGTTTTAATATTGTTATTATATAATTGCAAAAATTTGTGATGTTTATGCTTGCTTAACTTCATGCTGTATATATATTGCCATTTTGACTATAGAGAACTTATATCAAAAAGCATCGAGCAGCCCTAAGTCATCTACCATATCTTAACTATTAATAATTACTGTACTACGAAGTGGATGATCTTTGTTTTGCATTGGGGCTTCTACTTTTATCATGGACTTTCCCATTACTACATCATTTATTACTTACATATACATGTACATGTTTACTTTTACTATTGATATTATTATTTGGAAATAAATATATGCTTAATCAATATATTTTTTAAATTTAGGGCATAATGTGACTGTGCCAGATGAAACCGTTGTTCTCAACTCCATTGTCATGCCAAGTAAGGAACTTGGATCTTCCTACAAGAATGAAATTTTACTTTAAGAGAAGGAAGTTGCTACTAATAATGCTATTGTAATTTATTGTTATGCATATTGCTATATTATGCTAATAAGGCCATTATGTGCTTCACATTATTATTCTGATCATTACTTAGGATACTTTTTACCCAGGAAAAAAAATATGGAATATTAAAAGTATGGGTGGAGTTGAATATCTTGGTTTTATTAAGATGCTTGCCTTCCAATCCCAGGGTCCTGGGTTTAATTCCTGTTAATGTTGCAGGATTTTTTCTCACGACCAAAACAACTCCACTTCCTAAATCTCATATTGAGATTTAGTTTTTGTGTAGAGCATCATGTATTTGTGTTGTGTAAGGGGCTTGTCACCTACAAGTAGGACAATGATATATTCGCTATTGACAGTCCTTGGGGCATGTGTTCTGTGCCTATAAAATAAATAATACTATTGTCTACAAGCAAGTAAATTGGACAGCTACAAACAGGGGATCATCTCAAGGGGATCATCTCAAATTTCCTATTACAGTATGTCTCATTTATAATCTACATTAAAAAAACAAAAGCAGAACACACTTTATTCAGAGCATTGCTTAGGTGTACAT